CACACTTCACTTTCATAAGCAGCTGCTCTCTCTCATAAACCTGCCTAATGAATTGAAACTTGAAACGTGATGGTTAAGTATGACTTCTAAGTATTCTCTTTTCCTCTGCTTGATATTTTTCTGAGTTATATATTGTTCATTTTCAACACTAAATTGCAAAATGTTTATTTAAAAAAACATGCTTTGCATTCAACTACTTTAAAGAGTTTCATGACAAAGAAAAGTCTTTAAAATAATTTGTGTGTAACTGTTCTTTCTTAGGGATGGTATGGAGGGTTAGTTAAAATCTGAAGAGAAAGCAGTTTAAGACCCACGTTTCATTTGTAGTCCTGGGCTAACCTCTAAATAAACGATCCTTTAAGTCTTAAGAAGTATTAACTCAAGTTATAGCTTTTATTTCAGAATTTACCCAGCCTAAAATACAATTTCAAACTTAAAAACCCCCCTGCTGAAGACACTGGGAAAGACTGGCACAGCTCACGAGCGGATCAACAGCCAACAACTCAAGGACTGACTGACTACCTAGCTAGTTTACGGACTACAGCCTCTTTATGCTGGCAAGCATCAATGGAGTCTTTCTCTATCGTTCAAGTTTTAACAAGTAGGAAAAAATAGAAACACTTCATTCCCAAATCTACTAACTAGCCAAGTGAAAATTCTCAAACAGGAACTATATTAAAAGCTCACTTTTAATACTGCTTGAAAAGTATTTTACAAATAAGATTGATAGACAATCCCATTCAAAATTTCTAATTATCAAAGAGTAGAGTATCTTAATGGCACTGAACAGTTTAATCCCTAAAGTGAAAGTCAGTTTTATGTGAATTTAAAAGTAATTTTTCTGCTAAGCATTATAGACAAAGGAGAGTGTAATCCCTGACCACAAACAGAAGTCCTGATTAATTTGTTGTGGACAATGAGAGGCCACAAAGGGGGGAGCACAAGTTGCCAATTTTCACAATTAGGCCATCTAGCAAGAAGATTAGGACGGTGGATGGAAGAAACCAGTATTTTCAAGTCAAGTTAAACTTACAGTAAGACTAACAAGTACAGGAAAAAGCTTCTAACACCTAAGGACTGGCCTCTTTCCTGCGCTGGTCTGATGAAAACAATCACACTTCCTACTCACTCCACTGTCTATTGTAAACACCCATCTTTACACTGGCCTGATGCAGAAATTCCCAAGTACAGACAGAATGAGGTGTGAGGTGGAGAAAACATGAAAAGAGAAAAAAAGCAAATATTATTTTGACTACTGTAATCCTAAGCTTTCTTCTACATCAGAAACTCAAACAAGCCTGTGCAGAAGCAGTGACACACCTGAAATTCCCCCAGGTGGCTGCTTCTGCCAACCTCACACTAAGGTAGTCCGTTCTGGGCAGTCTGAAGGGCACATGAGCAGCCTTCCACAACTAACCCAGGGAACTCCTATCGCATATCCAAACTTTTTATAATCTCCACTGGAGTATACACAGCATTTTAAAAATGCATTGTAATTCATTTTAAATGCTGTCTAGTTGTGTAAGAGATTCCCCATAGACTATACTTTTAAAAAAATTATAATTTTCATCATAAAATGGATACTAATACCACGAAAACAACCAATAAGCCAAGTGAAAAAAATAACAGTGTATTAGGTGTTTTCTCTGTAATCACAGTTGTGGATAAATAACGACAGATTAAGTCACCTAAAATTTAAGTTTCTACTGAATTCAATATAGGTCAATTATTAAGCAAGCTACATATTTTGTTCCAAACATTTCCAAGGTTAAAAAAAATAACTGGCGCCCCTTAGCGCTCACATTTGGAAATACTCAATTTAAGAGTTCCAGCCCTTTTTTTTTTTTTTTGACATTCCAGAAAGTTTTCTGCCTCCACAATCTTTCAAATGCCAACACAAATAGGAAAGGCAAAACCCCTTAAAGGGGCAGCTCAAGTTTTCTCCGGGGCATTTGAGACTAAGAAACACGAGGTCCCAACAGTGGAAAATGCCCCTTTCGATGTGTTATGTTACTGTCTACGTTCACGCGGAATGGCCGAGTGTTGTCTGTTTTAAGTCCTATGGCTCCTACCCAACAGAAGCTCTTAGGAAGATTGTTTAACCATCCTTTAGCTCGGAGATATCCAGTCTTTTGTTCTTCCCTGACATGCCAGCTGCTTAAAAGCAGAGGATTTGCTTTCTGCAGCTAGATTTGAAAATTTCCCAGATTCTTCTCAAGATCCTAAAATCCATTGTTCGTCTGCACAGCAGCACCGTTTTTAGCTTCCTTTAGACAGTCCTCCCGCAGACTTGAAAAAACAGAAAAGAAAGTCCCCGCTCCTGGATGTTCAAAATGAACTTGTTGGTCCTATTTTCCGAGCTCCCCCCCCCCCCCGCACCCCGCCCCGGGAGGCCACACAAAGCCACAGCTACTGGAAACTAACACTCCAGGTCGCTGCTGGGAGAAGTTCTTAAAGGAATTCCAGAGCTGACCAGCAGCACTCATCTCCTGGCCGTTCTCTGCTCCCCACAGCGCTCCCAACTCGGCTCCTGCAAACTTTTCGCTCTATTTTATTCTCGTCCTTTCCAACTTCCAGCTCCCCGCCCTACAAACGCAGGCGGCCACGCCGGGAGCTAACCCTCCGCCCCAGTTCTCCCAAACTCGGATTCCGTTCAGGTCTGTCATCGCGGTATTTCGTCCTCCTCTCCCCCCCCCCACCCCCACCACCCCGCCCAAAAAAAAAAAAAAAAAAAAAAAAAAAATTTTTTGGGAAAAAAAAAAACCCCTTCCAAAAAAACAAAAAAAAAAAAAAAAAAAAAAAAAAGTGAAGTTAAACTCCCGAACAGTTCTAGCTTCCCTAAACAAAGGACAAAAAGTGCTCCGCTCTGTCATCCAGCCCTCGCCTTCGGCCACACGAGCACTACTTTTCCGTGTCCCGCGTCATGTCCGAACATCTCCAGAGTCCGCTCCCGGACTGCGGGGCCACTCCGCCGGGAACCCCGCGGGCAGGCGGGGCGAGGCGAGGCGGAGCTCGGGGGAAACTCGCGTGGCCCGGCCGCAGCGGCCGGGATGGCCGGG